CGGGTCCGCAGGAAGCAGTCGCCTCTTGGGGTGACCGCCATCCCCTCGCAAGGGTGGCCGGACCTGTCGTCCGGGGCGAGGTCACCAGCTGGAGCGCAGGCTCCACCGGCTGGCCAACCCAGACCCGGGGCAGAGGGGCCCTTCCAGGCAGCCTGGCGGGTCACATCGGGGTTTGGGTTGGCCCCCCGCCCCCCGTTTCCAGCCAAGGCGGCCCCCATAGAGACGCCCCAAACATTTGGTGCCAGCACAGCGCAGGTTTATTGGGGGGACAGAAAAGGCTGCCGCCGGTGGGGGGGGTTCGGTTGGCCCCCCCGCCCCCCGTTTCCAGCCAAGGCGGGCCCCATAGAGACGCCCCAAACATTTGGTGCCGGCACAGCGCAGGTTTATTGGGGGGACAGAGAAGGCTGCTGCCGGTGGGGGGGCGTCGCCTTGCAGTGTCCTCAGTTCCCAGGTCCAGCTGGCCGGGTGTGGGCCCCCCAGGGGCCTGGGCTACACCTCAGGGATGGGGAAGGAGGCGCAGGCCGCCAGCCCACACATGTTCTTGCCCCGCTCGATGAGGAAATACCTGGGGGAGGCGCCACTGAGCCTTGGGGGGCTCCACTGCACCCTAGGGCAGCCCCGCTGGGCCCCACTTCCGCCTGACCCCTCAGGAGGCGTCTGCAGGGCCCTGTGGTGGGGCCCAGCCTCCCTCTCGGAGGGGGTCCTGCAGGAGAGCCCCAGGCCTGGCCACCTGCCCCCCAGTTGTGCCTACCCGTTCATTCCCCAGTAGGGCCCCCACGAGTTTTTCACGATCCAGTAGGGCACCCCATTTTCTTCTCCGTACCCCACAGCCAGCACTGCATGGTTGACTTTGTCTGGCGTTTTATGGCAGGAAGTGCTGGGGGGGGAGAAGTCTGAGCCAAGGGTGGGGGAACCCACGGCCACGAGAGGCCCTGCGCCCCCCGGCCCCCCGCCCCCGCCCCACCTGGAGTACACGCCCTTCCTGTAGGCCATGAAGTCCTCGGTCACCTCGAAGGCGAAGCTCACGGGGCAGTGCAGGGCCACGGCCTCCACCATGGCCTGCTCGTCGCCCTGCAAGACCAGCACGCTGGGGGCGGGGCACCCTGCTGGCCCCGGGGCCAGGGTCGCCGCGCTAAAGCGTGGGTGCAGTTGGTGAGGGCAGGGGCAGGGCGGGAGAGCGGGCCTGGGGCGCGCTCCGGGAGTGGGGGTGCGGTGGGGGTGG